TTTTTTTTTCAGAACCGGGGATTGAACTCGGCTTGCACTTGCCAGGGAAGCGCTTATTCCACTGAGCCATCTCCCCGCCCCACAGCCCTGATTCTGTACTTACTTGCTTTCTATTTATAACATCTGTCTCTGGCTTCTCCAGTTTTCACTTCTGCCTTGTGTAATGTGATTTGTTTTTGATGTTTCATTTTAATTTTGAAAAGAACTTTCTGTAGGTGTTTGTGGTGGTGCTAGGTACGGCATTCTCATCTTAGCATCTGGGCATCCGTTCTCACCTTCAAAAACTTAAAGCAGGCTGGCTAATCTGTGTAATGTGCATTTATTTTACCCACTTGGGAGCAAAGATCTGAGGACCGTTTTAGGGAAGGCTTTCGGGAGTGAGTCAGCAGGCAGGTATTCAGGGCTTAGGAACAGGCAGCTCAGGCACTGTAGAAGCAACGGCTGTGTGCACAGCCGCCAGTCAGCGGGAGACATGGCGGAGCCCCCACCCCATCAGTCAGTGCCCTGAAGGCCAGAGGCCTGAGCCTGCTAATGTGTTCAGGGGAAGGTCTGGAGAAATAAGGGATTTTTGTGAACTCTTGGTGGGAGTGTAAAGCCTTACACGACGTCAGGGGCGGGGCTGGATGAGATTGTTCCTGCTGCCCCTCACAGGGCATCTGCACAGAAAGAGCCTGTCAGCCACAGCATCAGGCAGCAACTCATCACAGCCACAGCAGGAGAACAGCGAGCATCCACGGGCTGGTGCCCTGCAATCCTCCACAGCAGTTAAGATTAACAAAACTGTATCCACATTGACAAGTCACGTCCCACGCTTTACTGAATGAAACAGGCAGCTTGCAGGATACGCAAAGCATGCCAAGCATGACTAGCTCAGATTATGTGAACTAAGCCTCAGTGCTAAGAATGTTTGCCAAGCGTGGTGGCCCACGCCTATAAGCCCAGCATTCTGGAGGCTGAGGCAGGAAGATCTTAAAGGCAGACTGCAGTATAGAGCAAGACCTTGTCTCAAAATAACAAAAGAAAATTTGTCTATGTTTCAGAGTCTAAATAGATATACAGGAATAAAGAATACCAATTTTAGCCAGGATTGGTGGCACATGCCTATAATCCCAGTACTCGAGAGGCCGAGGCAGGAGGATTGTTGGAAGTTCAAGACCAGCCTGGGCTACGAAGTGAGCTCAAGACCCACCTGAACTGCATAGTGAGACCTTGTCTCAAAAAGACAGAAAAAAGAACAACAATGAAAAAAAAAAAAAAAAAAAACACACCCAATTCAAGTTTGTGGCTAACCTCAGTATAAGACTAGAGGATGAATTGGAGAGAGCAAATGAAGGGCCCTGATCATACTTTTAGCTGTTCATGATCTTTTCAAAAACATATTTGAAGGGTCGGGGAGATGGCTCAGTGTCAAAGTGCTTCCCTGGCAAGCTCAAGGGCCTCAGTTCAATCCCCGGTTCCTCCCCCTCTCAAAAAATATATATATATTTGAGAAAGCAAGAGACAGGAAAAGAAATATTGTGGGACTGTCCTGCTTCAAGGTTGTATATGGTGAGATTTTTGGACTTATGTGCAAACATGAGAAGCATAGAATTCTTTATCCTATGTTTAAAATATAATCTAATTTTTAAATGTTTTATCATATTATGTAGGGACTTAAAGTTCAACATATCAATACTTGATGAAAAATACCTGTTCCTTATTATGCCTAAGATGTTTGAAATGCAGTGAGATAGTGAGGTTAAGCTTGATAGCCTAAATCGTTTGATAATAACAATAAGCTTGTCTTCTGGATGGTTAACAACCTAAGTTTGCAGACCAAAATTAGAGAAAAAGGAGGGCTACAAGGAAAGCCAACATTTTGGCCCTAGCCTTCTAAGGTCAATTAAGACCCAGGACATATGAGAACTTGTACTGTGACGTCATGTACCTCCGTAGTGTCCCAAATTTTCTGATCAAGAAGATTATGGGGCCAAAGAGGAAAGTGATCGATGACGTAGAGTGTGCCTAGGGAGAGTCACATGGGGAGAAGACACTCTCTCAGGCTTTCACAGAGAGCACATTGGCCAAGCAATGGCTGTGACTCATCCACATGGCTGACACTGACAAAGGTTCTACAATCTGAGGTACAGGATCTCAGGATAAATCCTGAGGGCATTTCACTGACCTTCTCAGACCAAAAAGCTACAACTCTTGTTGCACAGGTCCTGCTTTACCTTTCTTAACCATCAAGTAGAAAAGTATGAAGACGAAATATAGGAAGTAAAGCCATGTTGTTAGGTTGAGCTGTGGGGGACTCAGGTCAATAATTTCTGACATTGCCAGTTAAACAGAGGACCCAATGCTATTATGGGCTACTGGATTCTTTTGGAATATTTTGCTGAGTTTACACACCTATAATATTCAACAACAGAACTTTAAAAAATTGGGATATAACTATGAATGTCCATTTTGTATCTGTGTATTCAAAGTGGTTGGGATAGATATATAGTTGCATTCTCTTAATGAATAGAATGATTTGTTCTAATGGTGTTTGTAAATAGGATCACAGGTCTGCATCTTGTACAGCAGTTAACCACTGGGAAGAATGTATGCAGTGTATTATTGAAAAAAAAATAACATTTTTGGTCTACAAGCTTTGAAATACTACATAAAGATAACATATGTATATGATAGTACAAATCTGATGATGTCTGCCTATACTTGTACAGAAATTGTGTACCTAAACCCATGCAAATTTTCCTATGAAGAATTTTATTGTTATCAATAAAAAAAAAAAAAAAAAAAAAAAAAAAAAAAATATATATATATATATATATATATATATATATTTGAAATATTTAGTGTGAGCAGTCATGTGCACATCTGCCTCTGTATATGGAAAAACACCAGACCATGGGGGTGGTTATGCTAGTGATGTTTGGGGTGCTTATTAACATTCTTATTTGTACCTGTATTTTCTGAATGTTCTTTAAGAGTGTTCATTGTTCTCTGAAGCAGTGCTTCAGAAGTACTTTCAGGAGCAGCCCCATGGGACCCCTCCTGCCACTGGAACTATTCCTACTCCCCAGTGCTGTTCCCCACTCCTTTTCTCCAGTACATTTATTCTCCTGCTCTTAAACAGAAAGGCCAGGGAAACAGTTCAGTGGCACAAGTGCCTTTCTGGCAAGCCCAAGGGCCTGACTTCAACTCTGGGACCAAAAGAAAAGGAAAACAAGGACTTTCATTTAAATAAACATTTTATT